CTGAGATTAAGGTAGCCCTGGCTTTCTTTGTTCTGCACTACATGGTTTCTGCCTAGAAGTGTTTTCAGATAGATGTGGCCTTTTTCCCTGCCTGCAACAGGAGAAATAGCCCCCCTCCTGGAGGTGGGGGAGCAGAGGACGGCTAGTTTTGAATGAAATGTAACTTGTGGGTAAGTTGGCTTCTGTGAAGGGGAAGGTGTCTGTCTGTCTGTCTTCACTCCACCTCCTCTTAGGGTGTGTGTGTGTGTGTGTGTGTGTGTGTGTATGGGTATGTGTTTGTGTCTCACACATTATGTGCGTGTATGTGCATGCGCTGTGTGCGTGAGACAGTGAGAGAGAGCATTGTGGGTAGAAGTGTGTTGTCAGATGGCAAAGGCAGTAGCAGTGGATGAAAGACAAGACTTAAGTAACAAACCGGGGCATGTTTTTGTACAGTTTCTACTCTGATTCCATTTTGTGAAAACAGTCTCTTTTTAAAAAACAACCCACCACCACCACCCAATAACCAGTGCTGTTCTTGCCTAGGAATGATTTCATTTTTCGGGTAGAAATCCTGCCCTATATAACCCGGTACTTAACAAAATGTTTATATTTTAGCTATTTTGCCAGTAACCATGGTGAACAGATTTTGTGCAAGGCAACAATGGCCTTTTCCTTCATCCTCAGCATGTCAGCACTCCCCAAATTTACTACATTACAATGCAGCAAGCTGCTAGACAATTAGCCTCTGTCATTGTGTTTTGACAAAATAATAATTATTTGAAAGATTAACCTTTCAGTCCCAAACTTTTGGCAGGCGTGCCCCAATGCAAAAACCTTTCAAGGTTGCCAACCTACAAACATGATGATGGTATTAAGTGTTATTTTAAGACGGTATTTTTTTCCCTTAAAGTTGACTACAGTTAATAATTATTATATAGTTGAATTGTTAAATGTATACATTAGCATGCTATCAACTAAACCTAAGCCCAGTCTACAATCATTTGAAGAAAAAAAATATACAGGTTCCTCTTATTACCAATAAAACTATTTCTGTTGTTGGTTTAAAGACTTGTGGAAATTATTGATGGTCCTTTGTTAACATGAATAGAAATCTGGCACAGAAGAGTTGCACTTGTAGTTATGTAAGTAGCCCAGAAGGTTACCACATGTTGCTAAAGTTAGCTCTGCCAACGTTTTGATGTGAGCACCTTCCTGAGACCATGGCTAGCCGAGGTGGTGTTTCAGCACAAACTGTATCCATCAATATACTGAGTCAAACAGGTGTGGCCTGCAGTAAACAGCTTGACTGGTAGGTATTTCTGGCAGAATGGATTAGTATCTTTCCAATTGCTTGGGGCCTGATTCTTATCACTCATAGAGTCCACTAAAAAAGTCAGTTCAGGCGAGAACTGGCATCAGTTAGAGCCTAATCCTAAATCACTTAGCTTTCAATAGACATTGGCTTAGTCTGAATGAGCTTCAATATAATGAATTAATTGGAATTACTATATTTTAACAAGTATCAATAAAGAACCCTAGAAATGTGGTGTTTATTGCATGAACTGCATGTTTTGCAAAATAGTATGAAAATAACAAGAAATGCTCTTTTTTTTTTACCTAGATATTACCAATTTTGGTCTTTAACAAGATTTTTCCATTGTTTTCCTCAATGGTCCTCAGTGGAATAGGAGCCAAGCTGAGAGTGAAGCCAAACATTATATCCAGGGCCCAGCCCATAAACCTTCTTCCTCCCTGCCCCCCAAAATGTGTGTGTGTGTGTGTGTTTCTCTTTAAGTTTTTCCAATTTTTGCCTTCCAATCTAGCATGTCACTGCATTTGATCTCTTGAAGTATTTGTATTTCATACAACTTGCAAACATTTCCTGCATGTGACAGCTTGTTTACTCCTGCTCATTGCCCAGGGATACACGCTACAAGGCTATCTATCAACTGTGAAGACTAGAGAACCAGTTTTGCCCTCACCTGTAAAGTCCCATCCCATACAATATTTTCATCTTCCCCAGTGCAGTAAATGCTACCCAATCACTCATACTGGTTTGCTTGCCATTGGCTATCATAAGGGATGCATTTTGGCAAACCACTAGGGAAGGAAGCCTATCTTTTGCCCCTGGTGATCTTTTTTTTTTTTTTTTTTTTTTACTAAGAATCATGATTGCTCCATTATTGTTTGCCTTACCGTAATTCCATCCTGAAAGTATGGGCTATCTTTTATGTGTATACTTTTCCCTGTATTACACTGTTTATATGAAATGAATATGTTTGTATATATTTTTTCTTTTGCATATTCTGAGAGTTATTTCATCAAATTTTAGTTTGCCTACAGAATCTTGGATCCAGTTTATGTGATACATTTTTATGTAGGACAACTCACAGGGGTGTTTAGTCTTTAGTTACTAGGGAGAAATCTCAGTGTGATAAGAATCTTGGATAAATGCTTGCCCGTTTCTCCCCATAGAGAGGAAAGAGTAATATCTGATCCAAGCTATAGTACACTGAACAAAGTGTTTCTTTGACAACAGAACCCCCATCCCCTGATTAGGATGGATCCAGAGGTAGGAAGGGGAAGAAGAGAAAGCAAGTTTGAATAAGTGTGGTACATCCTGGATGAGATATTGTACTATTTTTGCAATGGACATGGGGGTTTATGAGTCTAGGCCTGTTACAGGTTTTCCATTCATTTAACTTCTGAAAATGCTCCCCATAACTCCCTTTTATTTGGGGTAGCTTTTTTATTTCCAGTATGCTCACACAGTGAGACCAATTAATATTTATGACTTTAAAAACGATGAAATTTGGCTAAGATGTTTTGCTCCATGTGTCAAGCTGTCAATTGAGGTGTTGATTTCAACTTACTTTAACCAATTTTTGATAGTAGAAACCAAGGATCTGGCTATTTTAGCAATTCAACCTAACAGTGAAGTGCAGGTATTCATTTTTTTTTTTTTTGTCACATATTAACTTTTACTAGAAAACATGTAGTGGGACCATACACACTACCTATTCTTTGGAAACTGTCGCCCAAGTAGAATTTTCCCCTGCAGTCTTAAAAATTAACAACAAAATATTTAATGGCCACCATGTACATAGAAGCTTATGATGAAGTGAATACTGTGGATTCATGGCACAGGATCAAGTTCCACAAAGTGATTGTCAAAAGTAGTAGGGAAAAGCCATATTAGGGCCTTGGTCCTTAACATTTAGGTTAACAGTTATTTGCTTTGGCACACCAATATGGAAATTCTGAGTTGTGATGTATTTTGTTAAGTAGAGAGATGGTCACCATGTCTCCCATGTTTTGGTGTAGCTAACTTCTTTCTGTGGGCAAGAAATGTTAATCACATGCCAACACAAAGACTGGAAGAAACAATTGTGTAGTGAGGTATTTGGCCAGAGAAAGAAAGGCTGAGCTTTTGCAGGTACCTGGCAAGCAGTAGCCCTGGCAATGTACAAGGATTTTGGTGGGTTCCCCCCCCCCCCCCATTTATCATTAGCACTGTTTGGATGCCAGGCTGTTCTCCTGGGCTCTAACATTATATTTGTATATATAATAGACATTGGAACACCACAACAAAGCTTGTTAGAACTGGGTAACTATAAAATATATACTGTTTGAATTAGGGGCACTTTAATGTGAGCGTGTATTTAATTGTTGTATCATCAGACTTTTAGTTGTACACTTGTTTTAACTTTCTTGTAAGCCAGATTGGGTCCCATATTGGGAGAAAGGTGAGATTAATAATTAAAATAAATTGAAGTGGCCATGGAAACCCACTGGGAGACCTTGGGTGAGTCTCACTCTCGGTCCCAGAAAACCTTGTGATAGGTTGTCATAAGTTAGAAATGGCTTCAAGGCACACAACAACAACAACAACAATAAAAGTGATCTCTCCTGAAAAAAACAACAACCCTGTTCTAACTTCTTCTCATCATGGAGGGAAGTGACAGAGAGAAAATCCATAACTTCCCCTTATTCAGAAAAACTCCTGGGGAGGCACAGCTGCACTGGACACAATAATTTCCGAGACATGCGAAAAATGCACACACTAGCATTTGGAGGTGAAGAATGCCATTTACCATAAAGACAAGGAATTTCCACCACAGGTACATGTACATAATCATATAACATGAGTGTTTACAACTATAATTTTCCAAGATGGAGTACGATACTAAAAAGTTAAGTCAGCTCAGTTTGAGTCACCACCTATATTATATTTTTAAATATATTTTTTAAAAATAGTTTGAGTAGAGACTCAAAGAATGGAATGTGAATGCAACATGTGTGTTTACTGATCTGTGTATCACACAGATATATGTCAACCGTTTAGGGTTGGTCATGGCTCCTTAAGTGTGCATTGTATGGTAAAACTTCTTTGTTGTTGTTGTTTTGTAATGCAGGAAATTGCTTTTTATTAAAACAGGGGAAATATGAAACTTGGGTAGAGAGGGGCAGATTCGGTGACCATTTCGAGAATAAACCAGTGTTAAGCTTCACAATTATGCGTCTTTTATACATTATTACCCAGCTAGCAAACAGATTGCTTGTGCAAGAGGAGAAGGTTTTTCACCTTAACTCCCCAAACTTGTCACCAAAGCGTAGAGCTGTTAACTGGAGCTATTCTTCTTCCTTAGCCCATGGATAAAACTCCCTAAATATTAAGGGTAGCCAACTTCAGCAAGTCCAGAAGCCATTTTCTGCCCTCAGACCTTCCAGGGACTGCACAGGCTGCCAGAGATGTGAAAAAATGAAAACCAATCCACTTCTGTTTTGGAAAAAAAAGGGGGGGGGTTATGTTAAATAATGCAGGATTCCCTGTAACCTATTAAAAGTTTGCCACTGTTGTTATTGTTGTGTGCCTTCAAGTTGTTTCTGACTTACAGCGACCCTAAGGCGAACCTGTCATGGAGTTTTCTTGCCAAATTCCTTCAGAGAGGGGTTGTCATTGCCATCCTCTGAGGCTGAGAGATTATGACTTGCCCAAGGTCACCCAGTGAGTTTCATGGTTTAGCAAGGATTCAAACTATGGTCTCCAGAGTTGTAGTCCAACACTCAAACCACTGTGCCACACTACCTCTCAAAAGTCAATTAACTTTGACAGATGGGCCAAAAAGGAGGTAGTCTGTATAGCCCAGGGGTAGGCAACCTTTCCCCTTTAAGGGCCGAG